AGCTATCAGAGGCCGAAACTCTTAAGAAACGAAAAGAGCGTGAACAAGAGGATGATCCAAACTCCAAGTACTACAACTTGGAAGCTAGCTTCGCTTATCACGCTCTCAAGGCCACTGGCGTCGCCAGCAAGGCCCAGAACATCCATTTGGAAATCGCATTCTACCTTGGTGTTCGTGGTCTCTTCGGCGTGCCACTTCCAATCTTCGCTGAATTGTCAGGCATCGTCGGAACCGTTCGTTTGAGATTTCAGATGACGCCAAATCCTCCGTTCATCAAGAACCTATCTATGACCTTTATGGGACTTCCAAAGATCAGTGTTTCTGTCGTCCCAATGACCCAGCGTGGAATCAACGTTTTGAACCTTCCCCTAATCAGTAACTTCGTCAACTATGCCGTCGGTGCCGCCCTCGATGAATACGTGGCGCCCAAATCGTTGAGCTTGGACGTCGGTCAGATGATTGGGGGAGCCGGCGTCCAACAAGAGACTGATGCTATCGGTGTGATCTATATCAAGATGCACGATGCAACCGGTATCCCGGCCATGGATCGTGGAGGAGGCTCGGATACATATATCACTCTCGCTTTCAGCCAATTCGGAAAGCCAGTCTACTGTACCCGCGTCATTCTCAAAGATCGCAATCCGTCCTGGGAGGAAGATACTTGCATTCTACTTCACAATCAGCAGATAACCGCTGGTGAAAAGCTTTCAGTTCAGCTCTGGGACAGCGATCGAATCGGAAAGGATGACATGGTTGGACGAATCGAGTTTGATCTCCACGATATCGTCGCAAACGAGGGCGTAATGCAAACTCGTAGCGATACTTTAATTGGAGAAAAAGATGGCAAGGAAGTTCCTGGTAAACTTAACTGGGAAGTCGGTTTCTTCAGACGTACCGATTTCAAGAAATCAATGAAAACGACCGGTGAGGATGTTCGAGTCCCCCGCGAGCTCCGTCACAAGCAAGAGTTCCACGAACAAAACCCTGTACCTGTCAATGAAGACGACAAGCTCGCGCTCAGCGTCCCACCAGACCCAAACTACCCAACTGGCGTTGTCTCCATTACCATTCATGAAATACAACATCTCGAGTTCGAGAGAAGCAAAGGTACATTCGGCAAGATCAGACCATACAGTCCAGCTCAAGTTGTTGGCGAAAACAAGGATGAAGAAGGCAGTCACCTGCCTAACGCATATTGCACTGTGATGGTCAACGATGTCCTCGCATTCAAGACTCGGACTAAAGTCTCATCTTCTAATCCAATTTTCTCTGCCGCTGTCGAAAGATATGTTCGAGACTGGAGAAACGCTGTAGTCACTGTAGCAGCAAGAGATTCTCGTCACAGAGAGCATGATCCCTTACTCGGTGTCTGCTCTATCAAGTTATCAGAAGCTCTGCAGACGAGCAGCACAGTAACCCGCCTCTACGCCCTCGACGGAGGAATCGGCTACGGCATGGTCTCCCTCTCCATCCTCTTCCGCTCCGTCAACCTCCAGGTACCCCGTAACCTCCTCGGCTGGGATGTCGGTTCCATCGAACTCATGGAAGACCTCATGACCGCCACCGGTCCCAGCGCTCAAGAACTCCTCAATTCGCGCATCGTCTTAAGCACCGATTGCAGCCAACAAAAGATCCCACGTCGTCTTGCATATAACGACAATGGCGTCGCCTGGAACTTAAACGGCCTCACCATCCGCATTCCAGTCCGCCAACGCTACGGCTCCTCCCTCAAACTAGAATTCTACACCCGTATGTCCCGTAAACCGGTAGCGTACTGCATCTACTGGCTCAACGAGATAGTCGACAATCAAACCACAAAACTCTCCCTCCCCGTCTGGAAAACAAAGGATACAAACGCTCTTACCCAAAATTACATCGCAGGCAACGATGTCACTGTCCGTGAAAACATTAATGCGGAGCAAATTGCTACGTTCAATGTAACCTTGAGGTTTAAAGACGGCCTCGACGAGTCTCACAGAAGCTACATGGATAGCAATGATGACCGCGAGACATTCGATGCGTTTGAAGCATGCCTTGCAGAGGGATCACGAAGGAGAATAGTTAAGAGAGAAACCGGTGCAACAATCAAGAAGCTCATCGCTACAGGTGCAACGGAGGACTTACCAAGTGAAGACGAGGAGTCAGAGATTCTAGATGAAAACGGAGAGAAGAAAACGCACCCTAGGCCAAGGGTTCGCAGTCATGAACCTTCGCAAACGGAAAGGACAAGTGGGGACAACATTATCATGAACGAAGAAGACTGGAAAGCAGAAGTCATGAGCGTTGTAGATGATCAAGATGAATTCGTGGATGATGAGAACGTAAGAAGAATTGCAGGCGACGATCCAGAGGAAGTCGATGAACGCCATGATCTTTCCTCAGATGAAGAAGATTGTGATGATAGTGGAAGCAAAAGCGAAGATGAGAAGGGCGTCGATCCGGATGCTAAACGGGCAAGGAAGGAAAGGAAGATGGCGGAGAGAAGACAGAAGTTCAGGAAGCATAGGGGGATTATGCAATGGAAACCAGCTAGGAATATGGTTTTCTTGAAGGATGAGTTGAAAGTTGGGGCGCAGAAGATTAAGGGTAAATTTGGAATGAAAGGGAGACAGCCAGGGTTGGAGACGGAGTTGAATCAGGGAATGTAAACTCTTTTTTTTTTTTTTTGAGATTGGAATTGGTTTTATAACGGTTGTTTGATAGCGGGGTTTTCTGTTTGGCGCTTTTTTATCCTGACTGTTGTTCGTTGGTTTTGAGACTTGGTTCTCGTATACGTAAGATTCAACTGTTTTCGTAAAATCGACTTCGAACATTGCTTTTAACATCGTCTTTTGTGGTCGCTGTAGTGTTCAACGCCGTGGAGTTTATGCACCTGCATTGATTTCTGATAGATAGTAGACTGAACAGTGGGTACTCAACGTCCCAAAAATGGACTTGAACGTGGGAAGTTCACATCTCTAACTCCAACGCTTGGCGTTGCGTGGATCGAAATCGAGGCCCAAAATGTAAGATAGACTTCGATAGTACATAGCTACAAAGGAAGTTGTCCCTAAGTTGTATGGTTCAGAGTGGAACAAGTAAGTATAATCGATTGGACTTTACTCGATTTACTCCGCTTTCCCCTTCGGCTTCGGGTAGACTATGCGGTTTCGGGTCGGGCTTCCCGCCGCAACACACATTCGGGAAAATTTAATGTTGGATTTTTATCACAGATCCCCAGCAATATCAAACTCGAGTCTAATGGTCACAAAAACTACAATTCGGCGGTAAGGATAGCTGTCATTCATTCATTCGTCCGTCCGTTTATTCATTTATTCGTGAATTCGTGAAAAAATATGTCCATGAAATGGAGGTAGAAAGGATCAACGCCATTCCTTATATATAACGCCAAAAATGATCGGGGTTGCCAGGGTGTCATAATTCGTGTATGTGGTCAATGCTCTGAATGCATTAATGGTATTTCGCTTATTCAGCCTTCTTTTCCTCCTTCTTTTCTTCTTTCTTCTCATCCTTCTTCTCATCCTTCTTCTCGTCCTTCTTCTCGTCCTTCTTCTTATCACCTCCTGGTGGAGTCTTTACAACCAAGTCTGCTGGATTAGTCTTGCAGACATACTGGGTTGTTGTCGTGATTTTCGCAGAAGCAGTCTTGGTAATTTTGTCTTTAGTCATGACCTAATACATTTGGAAATTCTTGTTAGCTTTTGGTTGTTTACAAAGATGGATTTTTATCCCTAATCGATGGATTTTACGTACCGGTCCGAAGCCACGCCATCTGAACTCTCGAGTTTCGTACTTAATGTGCAAGACGCAACCCTTGCAGTCGCGGTCCAACGTCGCGGTCGCGGTCTTTGTAGTCTCATAAGTTGTGGATACTCCACGGCCAATGCCGAGGAAACCGAAGACGCCAGGGTCAACGGTTGAGATGAACTCTGTTGCGCAAACTGCACGGCCAACGAGAGGGTTAAAGATCTTCGGGGCAATTGTGGGTTCTGGTGCCGGTGCTGGAGCAGCAAGGGCGGTGCTGTGAGAGCGTTAGCATTCTATATATTTGTCAATATTGCAATCAGTTAAGAAGTACGTACCCAGCGGCAGCGAGGACGGCAACGACAGAGATGATTTGCATTTTGGAGGATATTTATGTTAAAAAGGATTGAATATAAAATATATCAAACGAGTGGCTGAAAATGCAAAATAATTCCTACTCAGAACGCTCACAAGAGAAAAAAAAAGAGCGACAGTTTTTTTTAAATGAGTGTACTGTGAAGTTGAGGAATGAAACCAAAACGATTTGCTTCCCCTAGATCTACTTTATATAGTTGTCACAAAAATCGCAATACTAGGTGTATATCCGGATATTTCGTTTTAGGATCTCCCGACCCTTAACAGCTCAGACCACATCTGGGGGAACAAAGGGAAGTATAACACAAAATTCGTCTGTCGATGCGCTTGCAACGTAGTCGCCGAGGGGCGCCACACCCGACAAGGCGAAGAACCTCTCACAGGAAAGGAAAGACTAGCACCAGGTTTACAGAATTTAGGATGTCCCTGTGGTAATTATTTGCTAAGATATTACGCTAAAGGAGCTCGTGGTTTTCATGCAATTACGAATGGCTACCTGCAGTGCGCAAGACGGTAGGAACCAAGCCCCATCCCGTTGCGTTGTGGATCGTGGGGAAACTTAGCTTTGTCGACAGAACATGTATATTCGAGCCGCGAAGGTTTAAATTTGGGCTTCAGGGTTCATAGGTTGCATCGGTTAGAAGAACCCATTCCAACTAAGAAAGGCCTTACAGTTGTAGTCCAGCCGGTTCTACATTATTGAATGATACGAAGCAGTAGCTATCGGTTTACTAATGATCATGAGCTTGAGAATTCGAACGCCCAAGACTCAACATGACATATGATTTTCTGTGGGCTATAGCCTAACATTATTGGAGGCCTTGAGAAAGAATATATACGCATTCCGAAGGTCGGAATGTATCAAGTCATACAAAACCATCTCCGATATGGTGTAGTGGTTAACATCGTTCGCTCTCATTGGGATCTGATCCATCAGAACTCAAATTGATCCGAACAGCCCCGGGTTCGATTCCCGGTGTCGGAAGTTATCTTTTTGTCTTTTTTTTTGCCTCTTATTAACTTTTCGTTCGTAGAGACAGTTTCCTTTTTGAACCGGTCTAGAACCGTTTCGCGATAGTGGTGCGACTTGTTGTATTTTCGTGTTGTCGACAACGCAAAGTCGTAGCCGCCGCCAACCTCTGTGCCGCAGACATTGATGCATCGCCATCCGCTCTGCTTAATATCAGGCATGATATCAAGGGGTTAACCTCACACCCCCAGCCTGGTCCTAACTATCGCAACCTTAGAGCGATGGTAGTACCTCTTTTCCTCCTCTAACCACCATCATTCTACCCGACGACCCACAATATATATATAATTCTTACCTCTTGAAGCTCTTTACTCGAGCGACCCTACTTCGATACCATCAAATCCACTCGCTATGGAAGGCACAGAAACCCGCAATAATAAACGGAAGGCGGGGTCACGTTCGCCAGTTGATGAAGGTGGCGGCAAGCGAACGGGTTCCATACGTCCAAGTAAGTTATCGTCTACGGGTTTGGGGAGGAGGCTACGTAGCGCTGACTGGAATAGGCGCTTTCTCGCCCTCGGTGAGGGGAAGGAGCACCAGGAATTATGGTGAAGACGAACCAGAAACCGGGGTTCACTCCGACGATGACGATGATGACGAAGACGACGAAGATGACGAAGATGACGATGGCGAGGAGGAGGAGGATAGCGAAGAAGTAGACTACCTTGAGGATGAAATGCCTGATGGATACTTCGATGAAGATATGGATCTGGAGCCACCAGAGCTTGAAGTAGAGGAAAAGGAATACGAGTTTGGAGCTGAAGGAACCAAACTATCTTTCAAGGCGTTCCTCTGCGACGAGGAAGAGGAGTTTCAAGATTGGATGAGCACCATTCATGTTGAAGCTAGTTTCGACGGCAAAGTTATTGGAAGCGGCCTCGGTCGGTATGTCAAGAAGGGTCGCATTCAAAGTAACTTCCGGCGCGACATGGAAGAGCCTTCACAGGACCTTTCTGATATCGCTTTCAATTTGTTCGATCGCTACGGCCGCCTCAAGTCGGACTTGAAGAACCACGCCATTCGCAAGGGCACTGGAGCCTGGGGCAACGAGCTCGATATCGGTAGTCTGTTCATCATCGAATACATCCGTATTGATTCAGACTGGCGCAGAAAGGGAGTCGGCAAAAGAATTGCCACAGACCTCATTGAGAAGGCTTGTGCGGGAGACCGCAATCCGTCATTTTCCCTCATCTTCTCCGTACCGCTGAACTCTGAGCTCGATTCGGTCACTAACGGAAAGACGAAGTTAGAGGCGCATCAGATTGAGCTTCGTGCTTCTAAAGATGTCAATTCTTTCTGGCGCTCCCTCGGATTTCGTCGGATCGGCGCTTCGGAGTTCTTTGGCCTTGCAGTTGATTCAACCCATCCATCCCGCAGAATTGCCCCGAACGATGACTTTGACCCTGCCGACCCAGAGCCTGACCTTGACGAAGAACCCGATCCGGAGAACCAAACATTGGAGGATATTTTTGCAAGCCCAGGCCAAAAACCATGGCGTCTGAAGCTATTGCAAGAGCGCCTTCCATTACACCACGCTGCTAAAACTCTCCCCGACGAGGAGTGCGTCGAATTCTTCCGTAACTTCAAGGTTACGGGTTCTCCAGTAGATCAGTGGAGCAAAGTTGACCGACTTTCTAATAATATTTTGCACACTACCGTCTGCGAGCTCAAAGGCAAGAGTGCTCGATGGTTGTTGGAAAACATGAACGAGGGGCAGATACTCAGCTCAGCCCGAAATACAGACGGCTTTACTCCGGAAGAAAAACTTGAAGATCATCTGGAATCAATACGAACCAAGAAACATCACGGTGCTATGTGCATCGAGATGTCCGACAGATTCCAGGGCTTTACTCAGGACGCCGTCGAATGCCTAGCTGTCTTCAAAGCTGGGACCAGTCTCTCCCCAATCCAGTACGCCCGTCTCAAATTTGGGTGTACTTGTGGCGCATGCATTGCTGGCTTCTTATCGCCACGTATGAAGTTCGCATTGATATGTCAAGCTGAACTGACATATGACATGTTGGATGACTTTGCAGATCATGCGGAAGATTTCATCGCAGAATACATCATTAAATATGTGGCTCCGGCTCTCCAACGCAACTTCACCACTAACAAATCACTCCGACGAGGTTTCAAAAACATGTTCCTCCATATTGCGAATACTTTGCGACACGACAGGGTCCCGAACGATGCCAATATTCTACATACATGGAAATCCGCCAGTGAATGGCCTCCTTGTACCAGAAACTTTTTGGAGAAGGGAGGCAAAGTCGAGAGTGCCTCACGCATTGTCTTTGAACGCGCCAGAGATCAGGACGAGTGGGCTGGGGACGGTGAACATATGAGCATCTTTGGGGATGAGGTCGATGCCTTACCTGAGTGCCGAAATGATCATGAATTCGGGTTCGTGGCGTTAGCTTGTGGTATTCCACCTATCGAGAACTATGTTCCAATTCGTGGTGCATTGGTAGATAGCTGGTGAGCCGCGGTTTGGCGGGATCAACATCCGATGGCCCGCGTAAATTGTAGTCGAGCTACGACCATTAATCGGGTTTCTGATCACGCGTTTAATAACGTCAATTATTCTGCATAATATATTTCATACAACGTCATGCCTGTTTGTTTGACAGCTCATCATGTAACTCGACCACCGAAACTCGTGAGCACCAAGGTTTTATTAACTCGCCCGCTTCGTCGTTCATCACGGGTAGTAGCAAGGCACAGCGAGCAGTGATTGTACTTGAAAATTAGTTAACAAATTCTACTCTCTAAGTTATAAATGGAGTTTGCCTCTCTTTTATAGGCGTGCACGGAGAAGTAGTAGTTATTACGACATAATCGCTATAGGGTCATAAAAACTAGTCACATTCACAGCTACGGAACCAGTTAAGTATAATATCGATTGAGGCAGAAGATCGACGTACAGCACGAATAGTTACCATCGAATCGATTGATCAGCCCATCTATCGACTTTTAAATTTTACGCTTGAAACCCATACTGAAAATGACACGCTATTGTCTGCGAGAATACACTGGTATACCCGGTATATATCCTTCTGGCACCAATGAATACTTGCAATCTCCATATGTCACAGGTTATCCGTATACATATAATCTCCCCAGTTATAGTATGAAAGGAACGACCAAGAAAAAATGTTTCATAGTCTGCAGTACAGTGCATTCGAGTCGTAATACGTGTACGTCCAACCCTCGTCCTTTTAGGATATGTAAGTAAATGTATATTGCACGGCATGTTATATTGGCAATATACGAACCAAAATAATATTTGGGATAGTATATCTTTACGAGGATACCCCTCCCCAATAGCTGTCAGCAGCCATAACCCCATCACGTGGGTTGTACAAGTAGCACTCGGTATCCATAAGAAGTTACTGAGAAAACCTAGGGCATATAATCCTAAACCCGACCAAATATTACAATCTGAATCAACCAGGCCCGATTAACCATCATAGATGCAGCTTCCTGTTACCCGGAAAGCAATGATCAACGCAATTGAGGATTGTTGAATCTGGATCTTGCATGGAAATCGATTATTTAACAATAGATTCCCTGGGTCGATCACCTTACTCCTGCAGGAGCAAAATATTCATGAGCTCCTAACGGCCCCAGAATATCCATCATAAGCTAATTTTTTTCGGAACGATGAAACTCCACGTCGCCGTTTCCTTCCATGTTTAGAGTTTCTCTTATCACGCGATGCGATATAGCCTATTACCTAACCCAGCAGAAAAAACGCCATGGTGGAATTTTATAATTTATCCGCACAATTTAGCAGCCGGGAGTGTGGAGACTCGGAATACGAACTAGAACACCCACAAAAAAGCACATGAGCTCGAGCTCGAGCCTTTGCCTTGCAGCAGTTTTATGTATGCACTCCGACGGCCATGGCTCACGCAACCAATATGGTGGGTTTCTCGACACTATACCCCAGACTTGGCTGCTGAGGGTTTTTCTTTCTTTCTTTCTTTCTTTCTTTCTCGTTTTTCTGGATTTTTGCACACGTGGTAGCGGTTAAGTATGGCATCTCTAACCAGCCAAGATGGGTTGGCGGAAACGGGTTTCTGGTTTTAATAGTCTTATTGTATTCGATGGCTGGGGGAAGAATATAAATGTGGAGAAACAAAGACAAAATTTTCGTCAGCCTGAATGTCCGTGAGCCAAAGTCTGGGCTCTTGGAATACGACAGTATGTGTGTGGAGTGGTTTCTAGAAGTCTTCTCCCGGTGCCGTACATGAAATCTTCTTCTGGCTGCAAGCATCAGCAGAGTAGGTGTGGCAACAGCGTCTACCTAGCTGTTGCGATAGCCAAGGTGATAGTCGCGTTACTCAGACATCGCCCCAATACGAGATCGACGGTAGCACAAGGCCATATATCGTATATTAATCACCCAATCTCGAGGTGCTCGCATATTCTTGCCGTATTGCGCATTTGGACGGGGGGTTTCTGTCACACCGGGCAAGATAAGGGAAGGGAACGTTAACGGTCAGGCCTTCTAGAATTTTTTCAGAACCTCAGGTATCATATTTGGAAACCTCCACCAGCGCAATGCAACGCCTGAACTCATATACAGTACATCCCGAAATGCCCTTCGTGACAAGTGACTAGATACATCAAAGAAAATTGTAGAGAAAGAAAAAAAAAAATGGCGATGCCATGGGCCAAGAAAACTCCTTTCAGAAATCATTAGACAGACAGCTCTTGATCCCTCGCATACAAGGAAGCCATATATGCTTTTTATCGTAAGAATGAACCCCAATTAAAACAAAATTCAGGGGAAAACTATGTGCAGTGAAGTGGAGGAAAGAAAGAAATAAAGAAAAGGGAATCCGTAGAAACAAAAAACGACTTAACTATAGTCAAAAAAGATTCCCTCTTGGTAACCCGATAAAAATCCCAATATACGCCAAACCAACCACGCATGCTACGACAAAACT